TGACTTATAAAGTGAGAGCCATGTAACTACTGATCTTGCCTGTGCAATAGGTGAAAAGTCCATATGCTCAGAGAACTCTACATTTTAACTTTTCCTAGTCTCTTGCATTTGCCTGTGTCTGTCATAGCTGTTTTCCTCTGCACTTTCTGTCCCTAATATATAAAACAGGTGTTACAATATTTCCTGATTACTGTTTCAGATTGGAGGTAGGCATTTTCTGACAGTCCACAGAGTTTTACTTAAGAAGTTCTCTAACTGTTTTTGCTTAACACTGGAGGTAGAGAAAAATGGGTACAGAGAGGGGTGGCACTCTGACCTGTAACACATATATGTGATTTTTATGAAGAAAAGTAGTATATTAGTCATAACCTGTAGATATAGTGTAATTCATATACATTTCATTCATTTCTGAAAGTTGCCCAATGAAGCAGGTGGTGTTAACCCCATTTTAAGCAGAAAGAAATGAAGCTTGAAATGATTACATATTCAGTGCATGAATGAAATAAGGAATGACTGAATCTCTAGGAAAATCTGCATGGGTTGAGTGGCTTAAGAGGTTAAGATAGAGAGGTCTGTATCTCAGTCCATTTAGCACTCAATTTATAGAGAGTAAGCTGGTTCGATAGTCACATGGGGTTTATGTTTGGGGGTAGGATGCTGCTGAAGAACCAATGATGACAATTTTTAAAGAAAGCAAGAATGAATAACAGATGAAACATCATCATGGAATAGAAGAACAATGGTGAGTCAAATGGATGATCAGGCTTTCACCAGAAACAAATTGCTTTGTGGGAAACTTTCCAGCTATTGGAATATATAGAAAATCTTTATAGACTTCAATTTTTTTAAAAAATTTTGAAAAGTTAGGAGAATCAACAAATTAATAGAAAAATAAAACAAACAAAGACTAATTTAGGAATTAGAAGATTTGATTTTTAAATAATTTTAAATAACTTGTAATAATTATTTATGATCTTATACAACAAAAGAAATCAGACTCACCTGAAATTGAATTGCTTTATATTTCAAGTACTACTCATTTTAAGGAATTTACAAAATCGTACAAATACTTCCACAAATAGAAAGTGAGAGCACACTCTGCAACTCATTCTATGAGACAAAATAATTTTGATTAAATATTAAGAGTGGCGGTAATGAGAAAGGAAAATCATGTCTTTTGTGTTCATGAAAATAGATAAAAGTCTCTAAGTAAAATGTTAGCAAGCTGAATATAATTCTTTATAAAAATATTAGTGATCAATATCTATTTTTGTGTACATGAAAGCATCAGAAGAGTTTAATACTGCAGAAATACTTATGTGTATATTTGATATCACCAGTTAAATCCACTGTATAGCTTAACAAATGCCAGAAAAGTTAATTTTGATTCATTTTATACAAATTCTTACAGTAGCAAGAAGGTTTATAAGGATAGAAATAGAAGGAAACTTTATAGGATGTGTTGGTCAAAAAATGACAGAAAAGGATAAAGAAATAAAATGAAAATTCCTACAGCAGTTATTTTAAATGAAGATATTTTACCGTTCCATTTAAATTCAGGGACAATATGGATCTTCTTGATGAGCATCCAGTTCCACAATATATTGGAGTTTTGGTCAGCACAATAAGGCAAGGAAATAAATAACAATTATAAGGATTGGAGATCCCTAATAATACCATTTTTATTAGTATATGGTATAATTATGCAAGTAGAAATTCAAATGACTCTACATTAAAATATAGGGTTTTTTTTCCAAAAATAGAAATGTGACTTTTATATGATCAATATGTAAAAAGCCAAACATACTTGTATATATCAGCAACAAAAACCATAATATTTATAAGTTATTTGAAATAACAGCACAAACTATGAAACAGCCAAAATTAAATTTAACAAAATATATTCTAGATCTCTCAGCAGAAAATTAAAAACTCTACTGAAGGACATTAAATAATATTCAAATATATTAAAGAATCCTACATTAATGAAGATACTTAGTTAAGAACATCCAGTTATTTCTTCCAGAAAACCCACTGCACTATACAATATAAGTTCAAATATAAGTCCAATTAGAATCATAATTAGTTTTGTTCTTTATTTTTATATATTTTTAATTTTGTGGAGTATGACAGCTAATATGTGTGTGTGTGTGTGTGTGTGTGTGTGTAAGATAGAGATACATAGTCTATATATAGAAAAGCAAAAACAAAGAAAGAATAATAATCAATGTTCTTCATGTTCTAAGAAATGTAGATTTACTTTAAGGGTATGATAATTACAAGCATATGGTACTTGTGCAGGAGTGGATAAATTCATGGAAAAAACAATCAAGGGTATTGAGAATCCAAAAAGAATTGTATTCTGAAGTGGAAATTTCAATTTTGGATCTGATACATGGTAAAATTTTGAATTATACAATAAATTAACAGACTAATTTAAAACTAAAAAGAGAAAATGATCTATGACCTCTTGAAGAAAGGAAAGATAGAAGGGAGGGGTGGAGGATTTTGGGAGGGCGGGTGAGAAGGAGGGAGAAGAAAGTAAAGAGAAGTGAGTTGAGGTGGATGGAGAGAATAAAGAGAATAAAAAGATCCCTGTCTCAAAACACCATAAAAGATTATTGTGACATATATTATATTCTAATTTTAATTCTAATAGAATATATTCCCTATCTTGTGTCACCACATAGAATTTCTATGCCAAAAGTTAAACTGAAATTTTAAGTGTATATGTCAATTATTTTTTTCTGATCTCTGACTTAGCAAACTTTTCTTATAGTAGACGAACATGCTAGTCACTTAAAAATATTGATAAAATTAAATACTAACTAATATCTTGTCAATTAACATGTATGGTAATGCAAGTAAAATTTTTAAAACTTGTCAAAGATATTTGCAAAAACTGTATTAAAATCAAGAACAAGAATTTTTACAAATCAATAAAAACTTACAGGAAAAAAGGGAAAACATTTCATAGAAGAGAGAACACTTGAAATTAAGAAGTATGACATAAAAACTGTTCAAGCAGATGAGTTCAGTAGTCTTTTCTACACCAACTGTTGGGTGTATGGTACCAATTCTTTGGGAAACAAATTGTCATTTTCTTGTAAGTTGCACATAAGTAAACCCTCCAGTGGAAGCAGCCACTGGTCTTGAGCAGTAAGAATGTGTGTAATAATAATAGGTTTTATCTGAACATGAAACTAGCCAATTCAAATAGCTGTGGACATGGGCTTAAAATGCACTTTCACAACCAAGAAGGTATTCAACCTTTTTATGTAATGAATTGCGACTACAATGGAGAAAACTTCACCTACTGTGTGGATGAATCATAACAGTGCTAAGTGGGAAAAGCAAAATAATAATAATAATAATAAGTTGTTTGTCACACATGATACCTCCAAATTTAGAACTGTGCTTACCTCATGAATGGAGAAGGGTCATGTTATAGGAAAGAGCACAGATAAAATTCGTAATTACAGGAAATATCCTATTCTCTGGCGTAAGCACTTGGTGTAGGCAATTGCTCTAAATGTTTATGATATTTATACATAATAAAAAACTGGAGATAGAGTGATGAATTATTTCAGTATGTTCAACAAAGGGTAAAAACATACTTTTACAGTATAGTATCCAAAAATTGCAAGAAAATTTTATGTGCTGAATATTCTTAACTGTTATCAGATGATGTGGTTTCAGTTAATTTTATTTTCCCCTAGCATATATATGAACTGTTTGTATTTAACAAATTATTTGTTCTAATGGTTCTAATTTAAAATATTGCTCTAATTGTTCTAGTTTAAATGAAATATATCACTCATATAAGGAGTTCATAAAATAATAAAAGATAATTCAGTATAGAAAAGGGACAAGGTTTAGGAGATGTAATTCTCAAGAGGTTACAATCCCCGTTTGACTAGTTGGTTGAACTATTAAAATTTACTCAACCAGCTAGTCAAATGGGGATTGTTATTTTACACTTAACAATACAATGTTGTTTTTCTCCTATATTAAGAAAAAAATGCCTAGAATTGTACACATATATTGCTTTAACATTTTGAGGAAACGGGCATGTAGACTTTTTCGGAAGATACTATGATAATACAATGGAATAATTCCCCTATAGTTTAGCTTTCAAAACATGCTCATGCTCACATAAATCTACTTCAAATAAAATTACTGAATTACTTATTCTGGAGTAGTGAAACACTATAAATTGCTTCATTGTACCTGAGAAAAGTGATTTATTTGTTTAGTCATGGATTGCACACCCTACATGATATATTCATAACATAACACTATCCAAGCCAGCACAGATTTCTTATACATAAGTGAAAATGAAACACACATGTAAATTAGCGGAATGCAGAGGATGATCGTATTCATGTTAAAAAATATGTGTAAAAAATTTACATGTGTACTGTCATATTTGTGAAAATATAGGAAAATATTTTAGAAGATTATTATTATAGGAACAGTACTTATATCTAGGGAAAGGAAAGTGAAGAGACACATTCCAAATATTTCTGTCCTATTTTGATTCTTTATTGCAAGAAAATAGGTAGGTACATTTCTGTAACTGGCTGTATCACCTGCTTTTGCAACTTTCTCTAAGATAGGTTGCACCTGTTTGCAGTTAATTTTGAGGATTCCTATGTGCAAACATTGGAAAGACTAGGGAAAGTCTGTCTTCTATTTGCGGATTTTAAGTCAGAAAGGAACACTGAAATAGCTGATTATATTGCCAGTTTCAGCTCAGTCAATTTCTCCAGTAATAGAGAAAGCATAGCACAGAATTAGATTGCATAATTAAATTTTTAGATTAAGACCTTTGATACTTTTATTTTAGATGTTATTGTAAATGAGACTATTTTGAGTGAAACCTTTCAGATTGTTTTCATAAAATAAAATCTCACACATTAGATGAAATTCCAAGAATACAAAATATGAGCCCTAATTAAAAAAAATCAATCTTGTACCATAACATGCTTATTTTTCAGGTTAAACTTTTTCCGTGATGTTTCTGACTTCAGAGTCTTAGCCTGTGGTGGAGATGGAACCGTGGGGTGGATCTTGGACTGCATAGGTAATGAAGACACTTCTTTAATGTGGTTGTGACAACAGTGGAAACTTACAGCCTGCCTGTGTTTTAGTTATGGATTTAATGGTTTATCAATATTTTTGTAACTGTAAGATAACTTTACATCTGACATATTGTATACAGTTTAATATATACAAAAGTGTAATTGTCAAAATAATTCACATATAACTAGAAATTTTTTCTTTTCTGTACACTTTCTTGGAATTTATTAAACTCTCAGATAGTTTCATATTAAGCTCTACAGAATTCAGTTGTTCCTTAGCCCTGAAAAAGGAATGAAACAGGATCTTAGTTTTTGTGATGTTTGTGTTAAACAAATGCCCTGGTTGGAAGTGAGGAGCCCTAAGACTTTATCCTCTATGTATCTTCATGCCACTGTCATCAGCCATATCACCATAGCTAAATATTATTTATTTATCACTAGCTATCTAAGAGGCCTTGTGCTAAGATTTAATTCAGTCATCTTGCTTAATTCTTACAACTCTGTAACATGGGGATAGAATTAATACACTAAAACATACTAGAGTTAGCAAACATAAGTTTTAGGCAATTTAAAATAACTAGAACAAATTTTATAAATGTGAAATGACAGAACTGGGATGAGGAAACTCATTTCACTCTCCATAACACACTTTATTCTATATTACCTTTATATTTGAACCTTAACAGCCCAAATTAAACTATCAGAACAGGTACATGATTGAGAAGGAAAGATAGACATGTGCCATAAGAAAAGCTTGATAAATTCAGAAAAACATTTATTTGGTTTTACAGGCAATGGTCTGTCAAAACAGAATACTAATCAATAAAATAGATCATGAATTATCTTTTATGAGGGGAAAAAATTAAAATATTTATTTATTTTTAAATTCATTTTAGTAATTGCACCCACCAGCTTGTTAAAATGAGAATTAGCCATAAAAGAGAGAATAATTTTTGGAAAAGAAATTTCTTCTGTCTATATAAATTGACAAATTTTATTTAGTCAGTACAGTTCAGAATGTCTACAAAGACATCTTGTTTGCACAATTTTAGTAAGCATTGAGTGATGTGAATCTATTGACACTTTTATTTTTAGAAATAGCGAAAATTGAATTTGGCCTTCCAATAAAAGTTGTAAATAATTTCAGCATGCTGTAATTAAGGAAAAATGCCGAATTTCAAACTGTAAACAACAAGTTGTTTAAACAGTGCCTGAGGACTTGAGAATACTAGAGTGAAAAATAGTCAAATATTGTTAGTCCTTTTTACCCCTCAAATCTAACCCTTCACTCAGCTCATTCACTGTGACACATCCTTAAGCAGTTGCTCAGGACACACACTAACTGTGAAGTTAAGAAGGAAGAAACTATAAAGAAAAGTAATACATTTGTGAGTGTTATTTCAAAGCATATGATGATTCAAAGGGAAACAAAGGATTTCCAATTGTTTCTGCCTTCCGATTGTTATCCAAAGCACTGTACTAAGTAAAGTTTTATCTGAAGGTAAACTAACTGACTTGAGTCCCACAGCCTTCTTGTTTACTTGACAAAAAGCAGCACGACAGGTGGTGGGCACAACACAATGATATTGCCTACACTTCACTGTATGCTAAAATTCAGCTGCTTGCAAAATAATTTATTCTTTCAATTAAAATGAGCCAAGGTTGATGTTGCAAAAAAACTTTATATGGAGACCAGCAACCCCACTATAGTGATATCCGTTTGTGTGTGTATGTGTATCCTAATGTTACATCCATGAGGTTCTCTATATTCATATGGGTTTCAATGATGTTAAAGCAAACTCATCTCAATATTTAACTGCATTAGGTTATTTAAAAAGCTTTCCTCTTGCATAAGTCTTGAAAATTCCAGTCACTCTGTGAAATATGGTAATAATCGGTTGCATTTTATAAATGCATACAAATTCATCTTAATTTGTAATTATATAGAATGTATTTCTTTTCCATGCCAAGATATCTTTTATACTGCTTTTCTGTGATCAGAATTTTATTTTATTTACATTTTTCATTTCTACAGAAAAGGCCAATGTAGCCAAGCATCCTCCAGTTGCCATTCTGCCTCTAGGGACCGGCAATGATCTAGCAAGATGCCTGCGATGGGGAGGAGGTAAAGCAATTTCAACAGTGCAAATCACTACTGCATCCTCCAATTCCCGACATTTCTTTACTGCATGACTACTTTAACATGCTTTCACCACACAGACTTGCCGTCTGATGACACCCCCATATATATTCACAAAATGGCAATACTTGATAGGAAAGTTTGCTTAACATCAGGGGTGGTAGAAAATCTGAGTTAAATGTGGTACCAGTTGTGCCCTCCTACATAGAGGCAGTCTATCTAAATTTTTTTTTGTTTGTTTGTTTACTGAGGTAACATTAATTCACAACACTGTTTGACATATATAGATTTTGTCCTCAGCAGTTGTATATATCCCATCACAGTCACCACCAAGTGTCCAGTTACAGCAGCCCCTTTTCCCTTTGGTAATCACCATTCTACTTTCAGAGACTAAATGTTTATTTTTATTTTGTTCTCCCCTTTACTTCCCTTCATTGTATTCCGCATATAAGTAAAATTAGAAACATTTGTCCTTTTCTGACTTGTATTTCAGCTGTTTTCAAATATATTCCTTAAAGTAATCCCCTCAAGTTCCACCCATTTTGTCACAAATGGCAGGTTCTCTCCTTTGTCTTTAGGGATTGAGTTCTATGCAAACTTTATTATTATCTGTTGTCAGGTACTGGGTTGTTTCCAAGTCTTGGTGGTTATGAATAGCTCTGCAATGAGTAGAAGGGTGCATATATCTTTAATTAGTATTTTTATAGTCTTCAGGGAAATACCCAAAAGTGGGACTACTGGGTAATGTGGTTGTTGTGGTTGTCAATTTAATTTTATTTTTTAGCAATTTCCATACTATTGTCCCATTGTCATTATTTCAGTTTACATTCCCACCAGAGCTTCTTGAAAGTTCATTACTCTCCACATCTTTGCAAACATTTTTTTTTATACTGGTAATAGGTAAGATCTCATTGTGGTTTTGATTTGCCATTCCCTATTGATAAGAAAGGTAGAATATCTTTGTGTCTGCATCTGTATGCCATTGGTGAAATGCTTACTTTGATAAATTGTCCCTTTTAAAATCTTTAGCATGAGTGTATCATACCATTCCATTCTAATATGACTTCACTTTGGAACATGTAATAGCTGTATGAAGTTTTGCATGGGATACACTATTTTTCTCTGATTGCTTTTAAGACCTTTTGAATCCTTGCTTTTTATTTGCAATGTGTATTGGCGTGGGTCTCTTTGGCTGCTCTTATTTGAGACCTTTTATATCTGGATACCTGCTTTCTTCTGTCTGCCTTGATTCTTTAATAGTTAACAAATAAATACAACACAAATGTAATATGTTCAGCATTTGAGGATGTTGGCATATTTTAGTGCCTATATATATTTTTTCCTTTTAACCCACTTAGTATTTTCAACCTTTTGTACACTGACACCTGCAATGAGGACTCATAGCCTTTGACATTTACTTGTTCAACACATAGATTATTAAAATATAGACAAAAGTTGAACATAGAAAATAACTATGAGAGCATTGTTTCAACCCAAAATATTATTTTAAGATTGTATGTGTGCAGTGTTAGATATATTTATTGTATTGAACGTAATATATTTTAATTTCTGATGTTATCAGTATTCAAGAACTTTGAATCCTTATGCCTCATATACTAAGAACTTCTATGAATTTTCTCACTTAAAATATTCTCACATGAAATCAGGTTTTTGCAGAAGGAGAACTATTTAAGTTAAAAGCAAAGGCAGTATGTAACATGGCCAGAGCTGGCTGTTGAAAATAACCAATTGATTTCTTTTCTAATCATGTTGACTGTGTGTAATGGATTTATTAAAATAGATTTGTGGAAATTAATCTAGATCAGACTCATTAAAAGGCTTTTACTGTGAAAGATGCAGTTAACTATAATGCAAAATAATGACTCTCAGGTAGGGATAGTTTTGAAAATTATGTGTAGTGGAATTTTATATAGCCCATTGTTTTGGGAAGGTGTCTTCTGGAAGGGAGCATTATGCCATAAAACCTGTGAAAGCGGTAGAAGTTAGTGAATCAAAAGATAGGGGTTTAGGGGTTACTTATGGTACTTATAACGAGATGTTATGACAGAGTTAAAAATGAAAGAACTTTCTACTTTAGTTGAATGTTACTCTGTATTATGTTGGAAAAGTATGAGGGTAAGAATGATAGACAAGTGAGAGTTCTAAAGCAGCACCTAGGTTCTGTATTTGAGCAACTGCTGGAGAGTATTGGTTTTTGAGAGGGATTCACACACAGGAAGAAGACATGTAAGCACATAATTAATTCCATCATACAAATGTTGATGTGTGATTTTATGGTGTGGTGGGGGATATGTAGTGGAAATACTCACTTGGCAGTTTAGTCTACAGAGAATTTTCACTACTGGAGAGAAATATGAGCTGCAATTAAACCAAAGTAAAATGTTGATATGAGTAAAATAAGATTATAGTTAATTCTTCTACTTGTGTTAGATTTTGCTTTAAAATGCATTAACTAGCTTTAGGTTAATACACAAAAGTATACTCAATCTAGTACCTATAAATGCACTTTTGTTATTTAGTTATAATTTTCTTAAGATACTTTTTTATTAGGTTATGAAGGTGAGAATCTGATGAAAATCCTAAAAGATATTGAAAACAGCACAGAAATCATGTTGGACCGGTGGAAATTTGAAGTCATACCTAATGATAAAGATGAAAAGGGAGACCCAGTGCCTTACAGTATCATCAATAATTACTTTTCCATTGGCGTGGTAAGCATTTCCAATAAATATTCTTTTTTTTCTTTTTAGCTAGTTCTGGATAATTGCTATATGTAAACTCAGGCTATGAAGACTTACTGATTACAAATAATTTATTTATGCTTTTGTCACAAAATATCTCATTAATGGGAAGAAATACTATTTGTGAGTTTATTTAATGCACATAATCGATAGACAAATTTTTCATGTGCTAAATAAAGGAAAGAAGCTATACTTTTGAAATTGGTTTGACCATGGGGTTATTCAACTGAATGTTATTAGGTTTAAGCTAAACTTTACATTAGTGACAACATGAAAGCCACACATCAAATTTTAATTGAGAGAACCAAATTTAACATACTAAGTTTTTACATATAGACATTATTTAACATATTGTGATTTGGTTTGATGTCTTAAGAAATATGCTACTATTTTTCTAAATGATTAATAAATCAAAAGTTTACTCTTTTCACTAAATCCTTAAAAACATTAAACGAAAACTAACCCATCAAGGTGCTAATTGAAAGAATGATTGACATATTATCCTTAAGAAATTAAATATTTTAACAGAGATTTTTACACATACAAATAGGTATATTTACACATCTATAAAAAATCGAGCAGTTGTAAATTCTAAAGGTATATTATCACGCCATTCCAGTGCCACAGATACACTATGTGCCCGTACATACAGCACACACACATACACACTTCACAGTAGACTATTAAAGTTCATGGTTGAATCCATGAAGTTAGGAGTTCAGTTACCTAGGCATGAGTTATTTAATTTTTTTTTGTTTTTCATTCATGTGCATCTTGATGGTTATTGTTTTTTCTTTCATAATTATAAATAAATATATTTATGCATTTAAAGCACTTCAAATAGTGGACATAATGAGGATAAGTGTAGAGTTGTTTCCAATGCTAATGATGATAATGATTTGTAAGAAAAATGTAATGTAGCTTGATCTATAAAAATTCTTATTTATATATTTAATATGAATATAAGTCATATTTTTAATGCTTACTGATATATAATTTACTTCACTCATTTTAAGAGATTTTAGTAAATCTATCTTGATTTTATTTCATTTCCATTACTAAAGCAAAACTTTCATTCCCATTGGAAGTCAATTCCAGCTCTTTCCCTCAGCCCTGAGAAACTACTAATCTTTCTTCCTCTAGTAATTACCTGTTACGGACATTTTATATAAAAGAAATCATTTTCACTTCATATAATGTTTTAAAATTCACTCACGTGAATTGCATGGTACTGTATTTGTTTAATGCCTATTACTAATTGCCTAGTGTGTTACCATATCACCTATTATTTATCCCTTTATCAGCACATGGGTATTTATACTGTCAAAATTAGGAACTTTTACATTGTCATCAGTCTTCACGTATGATAACTAGTGCCACTTTCTTAAGTTCCTCTTGTGATAATTTATTTTGTTTGTTTACTATATTTTTAGCTCCAAAATTTCCATTTGGTACTCTTTTTATTATTTCCTTATGTTTAATTTGTATTTTCTCCTTGAAGAATCTTTGTTGATATGCTTTCCTTTATCACTGAATCTTTATCTTTTAAGCTTATCCTTTAGTTTTTTGACATGTTCATAATAGTTGGTTTTAAATCTTTGCTAAGCACAACATCTGCAGCCCATTAAAAAGTTAGCCCATTAGCCAACGTCTGGGTCCCATGAGCATTATTGTTTTTTTTTTTTTTTTCCTGGATTATTTGTCACACTTTGCTGTTCCTCTGCATGCCTGCTAATTTTCCTGTTGGAAACAGGGAATTTTGTATAACCTTGGATTTGGATCCTCTAACAAGGGTTATGGTTGTGTCTGTATTTGTTTAGTAACTAACTTACCTGCACTAATTTTGTGGAGCCTTTCTTCACCATGGTGTATGGATTCTCCTACATTACTTTTTATTTTTTCCTTCATGTTCTTATTTATTTATTTATTTATTTATTTTAAAGATTTATTTATTTGTGCATACAGAACTGGGGTACAGGCCAGAGACTCAGGGGTGGCGAGAGGCTTCACCAGAGACAGAGTGGGGAGCAGAACAGGCAGATCTACAAAGTACACTGCTGAGGGGAGCAGCGGGCGGGTCATGAGAGGTCTGCCACGCCATGTGGTCACCTCCAGGGCAGGCAGGAATCGAACTCATGTGGAAGTGGCTTTAGCATCTCAGTACTGTGCTTTAACCCGCTGCACCACCAGGGAGGGCCTAGCTTCATGTTCTTATTTTTATTTTAATCGTGGCTTCTTAGAGATTATCTGTTTCAGCATGATTCATAAATGCCTGGCATCAGAAAGTTGTCGTCCTTTTAGCACTTGTATGTGCAGTGGGGAAAATGTACAAAATTCAGACAATTATTAATCTTACTTGGCTTTTTTTAATATTTGCTGCCCTTTTGTTGTCTTTTCTACTCACATACAACATCTCTAATTTAGCTTTGCTATCTAGGGTACTCTTTACTCTTTCTCAGTCTATGTGCAGCATTTACATGTGCATGACCGCTAGGAGTTTGTAGCCTGCTAGGGATGTCCCAAGACCTTCTATTGAATGTTTTACTAGTTGAATGGTTAGTGTTTGCCCTACTCAATTTGCAGAAGTAGCTGAGCTGTGACACTGGCCAGTTTATTCATTGGCCACAGAGACAGCATAATTTTAGTGTTTTTACTGAAGTCTACTACAAATCAAGTCATCTCCACTGATAGTAAAGTCACTTGTTTTCATAACTTGATCCACTCTTGTAGAACGGAAGTGCTGATGAAGCTAGAGGGCAAGGGAGCAGCTGAAGGCCAAAACATTGCAGTTTATCACTATTCTTATCTGAGATTCTTGAATTAATACTTTCAGTTTGTTGTTACCTTTAATCAACATCCAGTGATTCTCAACAGGGCATATGGGTTGACTCTAAGGATGCAACAACTAGCTCAATATGTCACCAATGGTGAGATTGAAAAACTACCTACCCTTAATTTTGATTTTGTACTTTTAAACAACTATAGATTGTCTCCAGAATCCCAGGAATGTCCTCACTAAATAAATACATCCCATTAATTGTTTGCCTCATAGTTACTTCATCATGCATTTACTCAATAAGCAAACACTGTAAACCTATGTGCCTTTTTTCTTGGTCAGGTCCCAGTTATAGAAATGAATAAAAGAGAGGGACAGGGCCCTCCCTGGTAGCACAACGGGTTGGGAGCAGCACTGCGACTAGCCACAACCACAACCATTTCAGTGTAAGTTTAATCCCCACCCACCCCCACCCCCAGAGGTGACCACATGGCACAGCAGAGCTCTCCTGACCACCAGCTGCTCCCCTCAGCAGTGTACTTCATCAACCTGCCTCTTCTGCTCCCTACTCTGTCTCTGGTGAAGCTTCCCACCACCCCTGCACATCTGGCTTGTACCCTAACAGTGTATGAATAAATAAATAAATCTTAAAAAGAGAGAGAGAGAGAGAGGGACAAATCATCTCATTACATACTTGGCATTTAAGAAAAAGGCAAAGAGAGAGAGAGAGAGAGAGAGAGAGAGAGGGACAAATCATCTCAATACATACTTGGCATTTAAGAAAAAGGCATTCATAATCAAATGTACCTGGATCTCCCTGGTAGCTTAGGGTTTAAATCTCAGTAAGATCATCCCTACCACCTGAGTTCCTTAGATCCCTAGCTAGGGAGACAACTCACTTGGTGCAGCAGACCTCTCCTGACTCACTCACTGCTCTCCTCAGCACTGTAGTTCAGTAGATCCACCTTGTTTGCTCCCCATTCTGTCTCTGGTGAATCCTCTCTCACACGCACACCCCCTTGCACCTCTGGCCCAGTTTGTTTATGCAAAAATTTAAAAACAATAACAAAAAACACAAATGTAGAAATGCCTTTTGAAATTATTATGATAAATATGGTGAAAGAAACAAAAGTTACCATGAGTTAAAGTGAGGGAAACATTTAAGAAAATCTCTAATGATCTTTTTTAGTTTTTAAGATCTAAAGAATACACATAAGTGAGCTGGACAGCACAGAGATAGAGAGAGCACACCCAGTAGGTATCTGAAGATACCTGAAGAATGTGAGGTGAGAAAGAGCTTGGTGTTTAAATACTGTTAGGTCAGTATGCCAGGAACAAAATGAAAGTAGGTGGGAATGAATGGAAATAACAAGGAATTGAAGAGGTGACTACTGTCATGTCTTGAAGAGTCGTGAAAGCCCAGATGTAGTGCTTGTCTTTTAGAAGATGTCATCAAATGATTCCGTGATTATAGTCAGGAAATGAGTTTGTTCAATTTATATACAGCAGGAGCACTTCTACCAGAGATGATAGTTATACTTGAGCCAAAGATAAAACAAATGTCATAAAAATGATACATACAACTTTAAATATTTCACTTTAACCTAAAACCTATAAATATAGTTGAATTGGCCAGTCTTCCCTTATAGGCCAAGCTGATGTCGTTTCTCTGTATGTGGGTCACTGAAAGAGGTTCTACAGTCTGTCTTCTATAAACCACAGCCCATAACAAACCATCTATGGCTCTATTTTAGTTTCTTTCAAGTGGAATAAAAACTCAAAAAGCCCCTTTGAAGCAATCTGAATAAAATCCTTCTAGATTTTTATAATAGTTTTTAAAAATCTTTTATATTGATCTTTCTTACATGTAATCCTACAGCAAAAAAATATAATTCTATAGCTGTTTTAACATTGCCTTTAAATTCTTCCCAAATTTGATATAAATTTGGGTATTGCTTCCATATAACACAAAGACTTTTCATAGTCATGTTATTTTCCATTTGTTTAAAACCATATGTAAATAAATTCTATACTTATAATAAATACTAAGATTATGTTGTTGGAAGCCACAAATGAGTCTTGCTGTATGCAAAATGTCGACATACAATGTGTGTTTCCCAGTCAGTAAGACCTAAGAACAGCTCAGCTGGAACTGAGTTCCAGGGCTGCTTAATTATTTCCTATCAGTTGACAT